AAAATATGTTGACCCATTGACATCGTGCCCATTATCACCCCTTAGAAGAAACAAAAAACATGTCGCAAGCAATTAAACATTGCCCCCGCCGACCTGACTGTAAACACCGTTGGAAAGTAGTTAAAAACACATCCAAAAAGTCCTAATATGGTCCGAATAGATGAAGGTTTGGAAGAATGGGATTAATGTACAAAGAACATCTTCTGAACTTCCCTACTGAAAAGACAACTTGGCTAAGACACAACCCCCCGATGTCATGCACAACAGAAAAAATTTCTTCTTTAAATGTCTTCAAACACAGTTCTGAATGTTATAGGTAAGACAAGATAATGAGAAGCAAGAAAAGATTACCTTTGTATTGTTGACAAAAAGACTTAAGTTGAAGCACAAAGGTAACGGTCCGATTCCTTTAAACCAAAAGCAATTAACCAGTCAAGTCATAGACGATACAGAATATTTGTGTGGATGATCAATGGAGCTTAGATACCATATGGATATTCTTCCTTCTAACTTGTCCATATGTGCCAAGTTCAGAACAGTACTATTCAGGGTTGAAGAGCAGGATTGTCAGTATTCATGGATACTTTCACCCTCTTGCGTTCAGTTTGTTTTCCAATGCACATGTTAAATCAATCCACAATAGAAATTAGTACTTCTTAAAGATTTTGTGTCGTCGTTGTGCTGTATCCGCCAAGAAACTAAAGGATAATTCCCTTAAACAGATGGATGAAATATCCCCGTTATTCCTCTACAAATTGAAAGAACTTCCGCCTGCATTCTTTGATTTCAATGGAGCATATTCCTATTCATCTTGCATATGAAGCTTGGCTTGGGGGACTGATGCAATACAGGTGGTTATCCATTTGAAAGTTTATGTGAAATCCAAACGTTCAGTTAAAATAAAGCTAGATAGAAGGCTCAATGTTGGTGCCGTTACTTGCACAGAGAGACAACGTATTTTTGTTCACATTATTCAAAAACTTCCTGTTGTCCCCTACTCCAGTCCAGAAATGAAATGCAAATGGAATTTGAACCCCACGTGAAGGTGCATTATCAGTTTTCTTACAATCAGGCCGTCGCGGCAGGGCAAAGAATTTCACACATGGTTTCTGATGCCGAATTCATTCTTCTCATTTTCCCAAGATAAGCCACTGTCTAATCAATGCATAGTGCATTTACGTCGTAACCTTGAGTATGTCATCATCCATCTCTTATCTTTCCAACGACACAATTGTTATACACTAATGAATTTCATTTGTACCAGCTCATTTCTTGTCGCCGAGCAAGTCGCAGACGGAAATACTTCTGCTAGAATACACTCTGAGTTTCCCCATTGGTTTAGAAATCAGGTCTGTAGTTTTTCCTACGTTTAGTGTATTTGTAGGTTTTTTAATCAGGGCATTAACTCCACAATTCAAGAGTTAAGAACATCTCTCAGAATTGGCCACTGAGATGTGTCAAAGAAGGCACACTTACTTCACACCAATGGTTACAAATTCCATACACATTATGGTCTACAAGGAAAGAAAACATCAAAATTTGTGGTTGGTATGTGAAGGGCCCTAACAAAGGGTTGTTATGAGGATTATTACGTCTCATCATAAATATATGAGCTGAGTACAACACCACTACTTCTCTCCCAACAGAGTAGTACTTTTTATTGTTAATGTTTGATCCTTCTAGAGTTGTAACTAGTTTGATCCCCGCTTTAATATTGTCGCTCAACCAGAGATTAAAATATGGTCCGTTTTGATCCCTTTTCATTCTACCAGCTAATGTCAGACTGTTTTATATGTGCCATATCCACCATTCCGCAATATTGCAAGGCTGTTTGGCCTGTAGCAAACAAACCAAGCCTAAGGTCGCATTGACTCAATGATGTTGAGGAAGATGTGCCCTACCAACTTGACCAAATGTCACAACCACAAGAAATTATTGAAGTTGAACGTATAACCGCGCATTGGTCGAGACCTGATTTTTGATGACAGCTGCCTTCAGACGCCCTCTCCACGGTGATGCAGCCCCCTCCCACGAGAAGACCGAAATCCGAACGCCGCGCCTCCGCCCTGCTGCTGCTTCTTCTGAGCTGCTTCTTCTTCTTCCATGACTCTCCCGCCGCAGCCGCGCCGCTGCTCCTGCTGCTGCTGCCGCCGACGCCGCTGCCGCTGCCTCTCCTGCTGCCGCCGCTTGCTGTTGGCCCTCTCTTGTCGCCACCTTGCCCCTCCTTGCCTCGCGTTCTCTCCCTCCTCTCTTCACCGTTGTCTGCCCTTCTTTTCTCTTCCTTGCCTTTCCCCCCCCTTGCTCCTCCCCTCTTCCCTTTCTTTTTTTTCCCTTTCCTTTGTCCCCCTTTCCTGACTGTCCGTAATCATCTATTAGAAAAAGACCCTTTTTATAACGAACCTATTATAACGGATAAAAATTATCCATTATAATAGTTGATATATTATAACGTAGTTTTTTGTAAAGCAGTTATAATATGAAACGGATGGCAAACATTGTAAATTACTTTTTAAGACATATTATAACGTAGTTTTGAAAATCAGTTATAATATAAAATGCGGTGGCAAACTTGTAAATAAGTTTAAGACATATTATAACGTAGTTTTAAAAGTCAGTTATAATATAAAATACGGTGGCAAACTTGTAAATAAATACAAAACCTATTATTGACTTATTATAACGGGGTTTTAAAAATCAGATATAATATCTCTTGCTCGCTTATTTTTCACATTTCCCTTTCCCTAGATTTCATTTTACTTTGCCTCTCACTCTCATTCTTCTCTTCCGTTCGTCTCATCCCTCTCACTCGCATTTCTCGGTACTCCTCACTCGCATTTCTCCGTCTTTAAAATTAGGGCAGGAAGGGGGCATTATTGTGGTTGGTTTTCACTCGCATTGAAGCAGTACGAAGGTATGATTGTGCACTATTTTGCATTTTTTCGTTGATTGATTTCCCTTTTTGGGTTTGTCTTTGGTCCTACTGGTTTTTGGTTTAACAGGTATCGTTGTTGTTGTAGGATTGCGATTTTGGCATCCTTGAGTAGGTCAAAACCTTAGTACCGGTTCCATCTTGGTGATTATCGCGATTCCTATTTTTCTGTGTGAGGTGCGTTTTTGAGTGCTGCAAGTAACGTGGTCCCTTCAATTTCTTCTGAACAACCACTTCACTTCACTAAGCACAAGACGGCCTCCCCCTCACTCTCGCCGCTCCTCCCTCCACGTCCTCCCGCTGTCTCCCCCGTCATGCTGGACCCCGGAGGAAATTTGCCATCATCGACGCCTACCGCGACAAGTGGTACTCCCTCGGCCGTACTAACCTCAAAGTCACCCACTGGAAGAGGTTGCCGATGTCGTCACTGCCCAGTGCCCCAACACTTCTGCCACTGCCCAGTGCCCCAACACTTCCGCCACTGCCAAAACTGTCGTCCAGTGCCGCCACAAAATGGAAAAACTCCGCAAATACTACCGCACCGAAATCCAATGTCTCCGCTCCCTCCCTCTCCCTCGCCTCATCAATAACTCCATCACCACTTCACCCTCCTCCTGGGTTCACTTTAAATCCATGGATTCCATGGAAGAAGGCCCCAACAAACCCCACACCAACACCACCTTCTGAAAATAAAGGTATAAGCTTTTTGCTAGTTTTTATTGGAATCTCATGTTAATATCTTCATATCATTCATTTCACTAAGTTAACTTTTGTGCTTCTGGTTGTTGATTCGCTCCATGATTGCAAAAGTGAAGTTATTAGACCTTTGGCTTACATCATGCATGCATCATATGTGCCCGAAAATGTACACAGCAGGGTCCAATTTTAAGACAGTTCCCTTTTCATCAAATTGGTTCAACACCCTCTATGAAAGCATAGTTTAAAATTTTCCATCAAGAATGCAAGTTCCGCTTTTACTTTCTTGTCTTTTCTCTTTCATTTTCTAAATACTAGTACTAAGACAAAGCAGCTGTTAATAAAATGCAAAGAGAGGAATGAACATGTTTTTTTTTTGGATTATGAAAAGGATGAATGAAAAATGAGAGAGAGATTTATGGGAGATGAAAAAGATTATGGTATTATTCAATTGTTGTTGTCGGTTGTTTTGTTTTGTCCTCATAGATTAGTATTATTATGAGTGGTGACATGTGTACTTGTATATGCAAAGGTGAAAGTAGATTGCAATGAATCTGTCATTTGGGTCAGCCTTTAAACAAGGGAGATTGAGAGCATGCGATTGGAGATGGAGATGAAGCGCACTGTTGCCAAAAACTTTCCTTATTTTCATGACCATGCTTCTAAGGTTCTTTCCTTCTAAGATTATTTCCTTCTTATTTCACAATAGCATCTTGCAATTGTTTTAAATACTTTTCTTGGATTAAAACTCATACATCTTGTTTTAATAATTTGCCATTTGTCTCTTGTATACTGATTACACAATTATTTTGTGGGGCAAAATTAAGTTGGCAAGGAGTTGTAATGAGCCGTTGAGTAGACAGATTCTTTTTCTTTACTTTGATCTTACTTTGAGTTTTTTCTTCTTTTAAATGTAAAAAGTAAGGAGGAAGTCTGGTTTTATGATATGTTTTTCCTTTCATTTGCTTGCTCGTTTTAGAAGAGACTGATTTATTGTCCAGATCTTGTCTTGATCACAGTTAAAATCATCTAAAATGTTTTAATTTGACTATGAAACAAGTTATGGAGATTGTATGTTGATATCCAATGATATTCATGAACTGTATTTTTTGAAAAAAATAGATAAGAAACAATACTAAAACCACCAAGTAATCTTTTACTCCTATTAGTACCTCATTATTACTATGTCGTTCAGACATCATAATTTCTTATGTGATTGAATGTAAAGGAATTGACATGCTCTTCTTCATTTGTTTATATATTTGAACTTTATGCTAGGTAAAAATGCTTATGCCTTGTCAGTGTTATGGCGGGTTGAGATGAAAATTGATGGTCGAGATATCTCTGAAAGCAGGTAGGTAGGGTATTTTCACAATCACAAAATCTTCTACTGAATTGTTTTATTAATGTTGGGCCTTCTTTGGATTGCAGAGAAAATGATATTGCAGAACAATGAGATTATCTACTAAAGCAAGCCACTAGTGTAGATAATCTATGCAACATGTACGAAGGAAGATTAAATAAGCATGTTAAAATAGCGTACAACTTTAGCTTAGTCTTGTATTTCTATTTTTATTCAAAAGCAAGTCATAGTGTTCTCCATTACTTTACAGGAAAATTATTATTATTCGTGTCATATAATTGTTAAATAAATAGGTGTTTGGTTATTTGTGTTACATTTGCTGCATCTTCTAATGTATGTGTAGCTGTTTCTCATTTATTGTGTTCTGAATTGTATATTCTCAAAAGTAATGTGTAATATCAGCATATGGTTCTGTTATTGTTTATTCATTAGTTTTAGAATCAGTTAGTGTTATCCTTTATTTTGTCTATTACTGGTGTGAAGTATAATAATGTTGGTTTAGTTTATTTGCAGCACCATTTCTAATTTGCAGCATATTAAATTTTGTAAAAAGGAAGGGTGTATAATAAGATTTGCAAGGATGGCATGAAGAATAAAGTTGAATTAATGTGAACTAACAAATAGTTTATTTATTGGAAAAAAATGGGAAATTACTCTCATTATTTTACTATTTATATCAATTATTTTTATTTTAATTTTACATTTGTTTTGCAGGTGGCTGGTTGTTGACCTATTTTTATTATGTTCCTATTTCAAATTTCAAGTAAGAGACTCTTCATATTACTAAGATGTTGTATCCGTTGCTAAGATGTTGTATCAGTTGCTGGTTTAAATGTATTTTCATAATGTGTTTCATTACAATTTTAATTTTATTATTTTATTTGTAGATCTTTAATGATTCATCTCCATGGGAGCTGACAGACATTGGAAGGAATTGGGCTTCTTTTATTTTATTTTAAGTGTTAGTAGAAATTTGGCTACAATTCAATAGTGTATGTACATTAATACATTAATGTAATATTTGGATTTAATATATAGTTTCATGTATAAATGGTATTAAATTATTAGATGATTTAATGTTTGAAATGAATTCTATTTTGTTAGTATCATTAAATTTGTTTATTTGAAGCTATATTGATTATAAATTGATTGAATGAGAGATAATACATGAATATTATTATAATTTTCTTGGATGTCAAATGTAATAATCATTTTTTTTAAAAAAAAACATATTATAACGTACTAAACAATGTACGTTATGATAAGTTGATCACATATTATAACGTACAAAAATTTCTACGTCATTATACCTCCCACCTTTTATAACGCGCAAAACTACGATGTAATATGTTCAACATATTATAACGTAAATTTCTGCTACGTTATAAAATCCGCAGACTTACTATATCGCCCAGAACTATATCCCCAGTAACTACGTTATAAAAAGTCATTTTTGTACGTTATAAAATGTCATTTTTCCACTAGTGAATGAAAGGACAAGGTTCAGAACGTCCTAATAAAGGAAAGGGGGTAGCAAGGCCTAAAAAGAGGCAACGGCAGGCACCAAAGTATGTACTTAGGGTGCCTGCTAGACTACCTACCATTGCTGCCCCTAGTACATCATCTGTGGGGCCTCCTCCTACCCCTACAATACAGCCTCTTACCCCTGTAGTAGACCCTACTCCTACCTCTACAATACACCGTTATCCTACCCCTACAGTACACCCTTCTCCTACTCCTGCAGCACACCCTTCTACTACCCCTCTAGCAGACCCTCTTCCTCCTCCTGTGATTATAACCCTCACTCCTCCCCTGTGGTTATTACCCCTACAGCAGACCCTACTTCTATATCTTCGTCATCTTCTATACCGCCTTCTGAGACTGTCACACCATCTGCTAATCTAGATTCAAGTGGTGATGGTGAAGGTCTTGACCCGCCCCTCCATGATCGACCATGGATTGAGCCGTATGGTAAAGGGTAAGATTTTAATCTCTTCATATAATTTGATGTTTATACCTTACTGGTAATTGAAATGACTTTTATTTTGCAGGTTTATTCCATCTAGGGTTGCTTCCCAGGCCATCACACGTTCAATTAAGCAACAGTTTTTAAGTCCATGGCCTACTTGGGGAGCAATACTTGATGACGACAGAAAGCCATTCTGGGAACGCTTTCAGGTCAACAATCTTATAAACTAATTGTCCCTCTTATTTTAGTATGTTCATTAATCAATGTTTGTTCTGTTTAATGTTATAGATGAAGGTGCAGTGGAAACCTGAACATGAAACACAGATACACAGAAATTTCTACATGAAAGCATCTCATCGGCTGTCAGAGATGTTTAGGGATGCCCGCAATGCAGGGGAGCGCCCTTACTGGCTGGGCGAACAAATTTGGAACTCTTTACTGGCTCATTGGAATACTGTAGAGTTTCGCAATAAGTGTGCCAAGACGCAGAGAAATAGAGCATCTGAAAAGGATGGCACCCTACATACTGGTGGGTCGATAATCATTCATGAGCATGCCATTCGTATGGTAAAATTTCATTACATAACTTTTTCTTTCATATATAAGTTATGTATTTTCTATTCCATATGTACACTTCTAATTGTAAATTATGTTACAGGCACAAGCTCTGGGACGGCGGTCCATGTTGATGAGATCTTTGCACAGACTCATGTAAGGAAGGGCACTAATCAATTCGTTGATGAAAGATCTCGGAAGACTCATGTAAGCAAATAACACTATTACTATTACTAATTTTTCATTTATGTTATTCTATCATTCCCTAACATTGCTTTTAATGTTTCAACAGGAAGAATTTTCTATGAGACTTTCACAGGTTATATTTGAACATGAGTCAGCTCCTACACCGGATGATGGCAGTAATGCAGAAGACGACATACGTAGGACACAGTGTTGGGTCGAGATCGTTGGTGGGAAGAAAAAGGGTAGACTGTACGGTGCAGGACAACTTGCTGCAAACTATACAACATCGAGAGGAGGTACTCTGAAGCACCAACCTTCTTCTTCCACCACTGCTCCTAACGAGGTCGTTCTCCGCCTCACGCAGGCACTAGAGCAACGTGACCAGGAAATCACTGATCTGAGAGCAGAGTTTACAAACTTTAAGGCCCTGGTCATGAGAGTGTTGCCTGAAACTTCACAGGATGAATTCAATATCCCTCCAACCCAGCCACGACCCTCCTTGTCACCCGCTGCCCCTCAGCAGCCCACATCAGTCCAACCCACACCAGTCCAGCCATCAACAGTCCAACCATCAATAGAGGAGCAGAATGATGAAGATCATTCTGATGATAACTATGTACATTATTAGTTTCATTTTGTTATTACTTGTTATAGAAACATTTGGATATTAGAACATTTGGAGTTTAGATCATTTCAATGTTAGATCAACTGGATGACTTTGGATGTTAGAACATCATTATGTTACATTGTTTTATGTTTTAACTATAAATACATGTTCTATGGATTAATGGATGTTCTATGGATTACTAGATGTTCTATGGATATTGATCAATGATTGCATCTTTGAGATGCACATTATGCATGTCTGTATGTGCTTGAAAACTGTTATGCATGTCTGTTTGTGCTTGAACACTATTATGCAGGTTTGTTTATGTTGTTGGTTTCATAAGAAATACAATTGTCTCTTACATTTCCCTCCAACTTACCGAAGGCTTTAGCCCTTCGGAAATTACTGAAGGCTTCTGGCCCTCGGTAATTACAGAAGGCTTTTGGCCCTCGGGAATTACCGAAGGCTTTTGGCCCTCGGTAATTACCGAAGGGCTAAAGCCCTCGGTAAATGTTAGCAACAAGGGATTTACCGAGGGCTCTTTGGCCGTCGATAAATCGTCTGTAATTACCTTTTATCGATGGTTTTGGGCTGTTTCCGAGGGCTTCTAACCTTCGGTAATGCCCTTTATTTTTGTAGTGTTAACCTACAAGTGTTTCATTTCCTTCTTCCTCGAGAAACAACTGTTCTCGCTCTCGCCCCTTTCCCATTTTCCTCTTCTTTTCTCGTCAGCAACCAAAATCTCCCCCTCCACGCAGAGACCAAACCCGAAACCGAAAACAATATCCTTTTGCCTTTCTCTTTGTTCGCCAAATCCTACCGTCGGGAGCCACCGCCACCTCTTCGTCGCCTGCGAGTGCGTTGCCTCTGGAAGGAAGAGCAAGTGGTGGCTGTTGGGAGTAAAGTGAGGTTGCTGATGAGCGGCGACCATGGAGGTTGAACGGGGTTGCACCATGGAGACGAACATGAAGATTGGGGGAAATAAGGTTTGATGACGGCGGGTGAAGATTGGAGGAAACTGTTATGCTTTACCGCGAGTTCTCTGCGCACGATGATGGTGGCGGTGAAGGCGGTGATGGCGCGATCTGCTGGTTACCTTTGTGATTACAGGTTGTGCGACGGAGAGAGAGAGAGAGCTCTCGCGGTGGTCATGGCGGCGGCCTCATGGAGCTCGCGAGGTTGAATGGTTGGAGCGGCTGATAGTGAAGGAGCTCCAGAATGAGCCCGACACCAACAAGGAGCATCTGTATCATAGTCAGCGTGTGCGAAACATGATCGATACCGTTACCTCCACCATTGAAAAGCTTGTGCGTTTTCTTGTTATTAGGTTTTTCCTTCTTTTTCCATTCTCACATCGTGACCTAGCTTGCTTTTTTACGTTTCAGATTGGAATATATGAAGATAACGACAATACGAGGAAGGACGAGATTGCTGCACTCAGAGGCCAAACCGCTCTAGAATTAATGTTTTTAGTAGGGCTGGGCAAATGGAACTGAACTGCACTGCACTACTAAAAACTGTACTGAACTAAAAACTAATTTGTCTAAACTGAACTGAACTGTAAAACAGTTCAAACAAACTGAACTGAACTGTTTTTTGTTTTATCAAACTGTACTGAACTGTACTGTACTAAATTGTACTAAACTACAATATAAACTGAACTGAACTACTAACTATACTAATTTTAAACTGAACTGAACTACTAACTATACTAATTTTAAACTGAACTGAACTACTAACTATATATGGACCTTTCAATTGGGAAGTGGACAACAGATTCAATTGCTCAAGTCCAATAAACAGGAAGTTAGAGCAAAATTCACTGCTGCAATAAGTCTAATCTGCTTCAAAAACAAGAAACCTACACACCAGTATCAATCAATACTAAGATCAATGTATGTTCTTGTTCATTCTACTCCATAATTGATAGACGTAAACTCAATTACGAACTTTTCTCAGAACTCAAATGCTATGAAGTAATTTTTTCGTCAGATATCCTAGTCACATAACATTAAATCCCTGCACAAATAAATAGTAAGTTTGATATGTGATTACTAACATCAATCTATATATGCATTCACTTTAAACTAGTATTCTAGTAAGCTATGCCAATTCCAGTGTCTGACTCTATTGCCAAGCAGAATGCTCCCGAGGCAACAATGAAGTTGCATCAACAAGCTGTGCCAAGTCTGCAAGTATAGAAATCTCAACATTAGCATCAGTTCACCAGCAAAATGACTCTTACAAATTGGTAAAATAATTATATGCTTACAAGGCTCAAGAGTTGCAAAACCATAATCTATGATAGACTAGTGCATGCTTGAGCAACCACTTCCTTGTCATCATCTTCAACCATAGACTTGATGTAAATAATCATCACATTGTCTAAAGAATCAAGCAGACTTGATATGCTGTCACACAACAGACATCTCCATACAACTGAAAGAGAAAACCATCATTTTGGTCTTTGAATTATAACACCTTAACTTAGCCTGGAATTAACAGAACTCAAAAAAGGCACTAAAATATGGAATTAACAAACTGTAACATATTAATATAACCTGATTAACCTCAATAAAAGAACACAAGACACTCCAAATGTTAATATCTCCCATTTATTTCCCTTTAAACAAGTTCAAGTAAGTCTGATATATTCAAAATGATTGGAACATGAGAAAACTAGGTTCTAAACGTTGAGGGTTATAAATCCAAAAACAAGAAAGGAAGAATTAAAGCTCAAAAGCAAACACTGCACAAAACAAAAACCTTTAACATCAATAGCAATCGTATCTGATATATTCATATGCACAAGATATTCGAATTCCCAATTTGCTAAGTAAAGATGATGTGAAGAACCAAGGATAAAAAAGTTATAGCCAGCAATGTCCAGATTAAGAACTTGTTTCGCATTTACAAGTAAATATGACGCATGCGTATTGCTAGTGAATTCTGGAAATGATTAAAGCTTATTACTGGACATACAAATATATTTACTTGTAAATTAAATAACAGCATTTGTAAATAAAAATAGTAATTTGAAAAGCCAGTATTGAGCATTTGTGTACCGTCTCCAAGACAAAACAACATGAAAAACAAAGCATTAAGGTTATAGTCTTACCCACATGTACCTTTTTTTAGTGCCTTTTTTTTTTAAATTAATGTTTTTTTTTAGTGCCTTTTTTTTTCTATTTTTTCTAAATTTTAATTTGAATTTATCAATTTTTAAATGAAATGAAGTTATCTTTTCGTAAAGGAACTTTAAGTGGTGAAGCATCGAAATTGTTTCGTGTTTAAATTTGTATTTATGCAGGTTTGTTATTACAATTTTATGTGGAATGGAAGGAGAATTGGGGATTTAGTCTTGTTATATTTTGTTAAAAAATAATTAACAGGATATGGTGAGCTAGAATTTCACTGTTATTTTACTTCTGTTAGTGGTTTACTTTTCCATGAATAACGGATTGCTTCAGTCTGGCCTNCATTCATGAGCATGCCATTCGTATGGTAAAATTTCATTACATAACTTTTTCTTTCATATATAAGTTATGTATTTTCTATTTCATATGTACACTTCTAATTGTAAATTATGTTACAGGCACAAGCTCTGGGACGGGCGGTCCATGTTGATGAGGTCTTTGCACAGACTCATGTAAGGAAGGGCACTAATCAATTCGTTGATGAAAGATCTCGGAAGACTCATGTAAGCAAATAACACTATTACTATTACTAATTTTTCATTTATGTTATTCTATCATTCCCTAACATTGCTTTTAATGTTTCAAGAGGAAGAATTTTCTACGAGACTTTCACAGGTTAGATCTGAACATGAGTCAGCTCCTACACCGGATGATGGCAGTAATGCAGAAGACGACATACGTAGGACACAGTGCTGGGTCGAGATCGTTGGTGGGAAGAAAAAGGGTCGACTGTACGGTGCAGGACAACTTGCTGCAAACTATACAACATCGAGAGGAGGTACTCTGAAGCACCAACCTTCTTCTTCCACCACTGCTCCTAACGAGGTCGTTCTCCGCCTCACGCAGGCACTAGAGCAACGTGACCAGGAAATCACTGATCTGAGAGCAGAGTTTACAAACTTTAAGGCCCTGGTCATGAGAGTGTTGCCTGAAACTTCACAGGATGAATTCAATATCCCTCCAACCCAGCCACGACCCTCCTTGTCACCCGCTGCCCCTCAGCAGCCCACATCAGTCCAACCCACACCAGTCCAGCCATCAACAGTCCAACCATAAATAGAGGAGCAGAATGATGAAGATCATTCTGATGATAACTATGTACATTATTAGTTTCATTTTGTTATTACTTGTTATAAAAACATTTAGATATTAGAACATTTGGAGTTTAGATAATTTAAATGTTAGATCAACTGGATGACTTTGGATGTTAGAACATCATTATGTTACATTGTTTTATGTTTTAACTATAAATACATGTTCTATGGATTAATGGATGTTCTATGGATTACTAGATGTTCTATGGATATTGATCAATGATTGCATCTTTGAGATGCACATTATGCATGTCTGTATGTGCTTGAAAACTGTTATGCATGTCTGTTTGTGCTTGAACACTATTATGCAGGTTTGTTTATGTTGTTGGTTTCATAAGAAATACAATTGTCTCTTACATTTCCCTCCAACTTACCGAAGGCTTTAGCCCTTCGGAAATTACAGAAGGCTTCTGGCCCTCGGTAATTACAGAAGGCTTTTGGCCCTCGGGAATTACCGAAGGCTTTTGGCCCTCGGTAATTACCGAAGGGCTAAAGCCCTCGGTAAATGTTAGCAACAAGGGATTTACCGAGGGCTCTTTGGCCGTCGATAAATCGTCTGTAATTACCTTTTATCGATGGTTTTGGGCTGTTTCCGAGGGCTTCTAACCTTCGGTAATGCCCTTTATTTTTGTAGTGTTAACCTACAAGTGTTTCATTTCCTTCTTCCTCGAGAAACAACTGTTCTCGCTCTCGCCCCTTTCCCATTTTCCTCTTCTTTTCTCGTCAGCAACCAAAATCTCACCCTCCACGCAGAGACCAAACCCGAAACCGAAAACAATATCCTTTTGCCTTTCTCTTTGTTCGCCAAATCCTACCGTCGGGAGCCACCGCCACCTCTTCGTCGCCTGCGAGTGCGTTGCCTCTGGAAGGAAGAGCAAGTGGTGGCTGTTGGGAGTAAAGTGAGGTTGCTGATGAGCGGCGACCATGGAGGTTGAACGGGGTTGCACCATGGAGACGAACATGAAGATTGGGGGAAATAAGGTTTGATGACGGCGGGTGAAGATTGGAGGAAACTGTTATGCTTTACCGCGAGTTCTCTGCGCACGATGATGGTGGCGGTGAAGGCGGTGATGGCGCGATCTGCTGGTTACCTTTGTGATTACAGGTTGTGCGACGGAGAGAGAGAGAGAGCTCTCGCGGTGGTCATGGCGGCGGCCTCATGGAGCTCGCGAGGTTGAATGGTTGGAGCGGCTGATAGTGAAGGAGCTCCAGAATGAGCCCGACACCAACAAGGAGCATCTGTATCATAGTCAGCGTGTGCGAAACATGATCGATACCGTTACCTCCACCATTGAAAAGCTTGTGCGTTTTCTTGTTATTAGGTTTTTCCTTCTTTTTCCATTCTCACATCGTGACCTAGCTTGCTTTTTTACGTTTCAGATTGGAATATATGAAGATAACGACAATACGAGGAAGGACGAGATTGCTGCACTCAGAGGCCAAACCGCTCTAGAATTAATGTTTTTAGT